CCCGGTGGCGGCGGCGGCCGGGGCGGGCGGGGGCTGCGGCGCGGGAGGCTTCGGGGGGGGCGGTTGTTTGTGCTTCGAACCTGCTCGTGGCGCGGGGGGGCCTCCGTCCCGGACCTCGCCCCGTCCCGCTGCCGCCTCGGCCTTTGTGCGCGGGGCCGGGCCCGGGGACGAGCCCCGTCCGGCCCCGCGTGGCCCCCAGGACGCCGGGTGGGATGTGCTGTGCCAGTGCCGCCAAGGCTGCTCCTGCCCGTGCCGCCCGTGTCGCACCTGGGCCTTCCCCGGCCCGGCGCGCGATGGCACCTCTCGCCACAGCGCTGGGTGGGGGACCCCGGCAGTGACCGCCCCCAGCTTGTGGGTCCCTGCTGCCCGTTCACCGGCCACGCGGGAGTCCCACACTGGGAGGGCAACAGGTCCGGCTCTGGCTCAGGCTTGGGGGCCTCGGGAGGCTTCCAGGTGCCATCGGCACCAGTCAGGGCACCTAGACCAGAGGCCCTGGCGCGGGGCCACGGCACCTTCACGAGCAGCCGTGGCCCCGGCGGGCGGGAGCGCGGCGGGGCCCTGAGCGCAGCCGCTCGCCGTCGCCGCTCACCAGGCTCAAGGTTCATCAGCCCCTGCGGCTCCCAAGGAGGTGAGCGGGGCCCATGGGGCTTCGTGTGCTCCCTGAGGGTGCTGGGCGTCCGGCTTTGTTCTGGCAGCCTTTGGTGCTCCAAGAGGACACGACTGCTCTTTGTTTAGCTGGGAACCCCATGGGAACAAACGTGCAGGAGCTGCTGGTGGCCAAGGCCCCCAAATGGTCTCCCCAGGCAGGGCCAGCTGGGGACAGGCCGGGTCCCGGCGCCGAGCACAGAGCCCGGCTCCGCAGGGCACAGAGCCCTCGGCCGGGGCCAACGCAGGTGCTGCTGGCCCTGGCCCCGGCCCCGTGAGCCCAGTGGGCCCCGCGAGCTGCAGGCTGGCCTTGACGGCGGTGCTGGAGGGTCCGGGCTGCCGGTGCCAAGGGAGAGGTCTCTCCAGAAGCCTGCAGCTCTCAGACAGGCTGCTCGGCTCCGCTCTGAGCGGCTCCCTCCCTGCCAGGGTGCTGGAGCTGCCAAGGGGGCTGCATCCCCGTGGCCGCACGGTCACCCGCTGCTCTCCACCCGGGTCCCCGACCTCCGTGGGAGCCGGGTGCCCTCATCGAGGGGAAGGGGGGACTTTCTGCCTCTGGGAGCACCGGCCTTCAGGAGCAGGTTCTGGAGATGCTGCTGCTGTTGTGCCAGGGCTGGGCCACAGTGTCACGGCGCGCTCGGTGTCTCGATGTGCACGGTGTCGCGGCGCGCTCGGTGTCTCGATGTGCACGGTGTCACGGTGCGCTTGGTGTCGCGGCGCGCTCGGTGCCAGGCTGTGCTGGGCCGCAGGGCTGTTGGCCGCGGCGGATCCGCAGAGCCAGATTTTCTGCGTGTGATGTTTGCGCTGGCCCGGCAGACAAGGTGGCCCCGGGCTGCAGACGGCGGCCGCCCCGGGCGCTGGGACGTGTCCCGCGGCCGCCCGCCTGGCCCGGCGCCAGCCAGGTGCTTCCCGGGCCGGACGCGGGCGGCGCCGCGGCGGGAGCCGGTCCCGCGCCGGGCGGCGCAGCCTCCTTTGGCTCAGGAACACAGGCAGGGAGCCGTGGCCGGGGGCTCGCGGGGCCCCGGAGCCGCTGCCTGCAAGCTCTGTAATTTTCCGATGAGCCGCCCTCCCTGCGCCGCCCGTCATCAAATATTCACGGGCTGCGTTTGCTCCTGGCGCTGCCGGCCCGCGTGCAGCCGGGGAATCGATGGGTAGCTCCGCTCTAGCGTGTTCGGCGTTGGGCACCCAGCGCCGCGGCCGCCCTGTGTGGCCTCACAGGGTCCCACGGAGCTGCACGGGGCAGGCGGGAGCCGGCCTGGCCGCGGGCAGGACGTGCTGGTTTTGCAGGAGGTGCTGGCGCCGTTTCCATCGCTCCTGCTGGCCGTGGACGTATCCGGCCTCGCTGGTGGGGCCGGCGGGTGCTCATAGCGGCCCTGGCGCTGCCGGTTGGTGGTGGCGGCTTTGCGGGTTGTGCTGGGCGGACAGGGAGCGATGCCTGCGAAGCCGCGCGGCCGCGAGCGGCGCCTCTTCAGGCGCTGGGAGAGCTAATGGGAAAAGCAGAGGGCGGCAAATAAACAGGATTGTGCCTCGCTGGGTGGGGGAGAGATCGCGGCTCCCCTGTGCCCGTGGAGGAAACACGGCTTCTGCCAGGATGGAGGGGCTGCGGGGCAGGGGAGCCGCCGCGGCGCGTCCCCGTGTTCCTGCATGCCCACATGCGTGTGCACGGTCATGCGTGTGTGCATGCTGTCAGATGTGTGCACAGTCACAAACATGTGCATGTTCACAGGCATGTGCATGGTCACAAGCACGTGCATGCTCGCAGGCATATGCACAGTCAGAACCATGTGCATGGTCACATATGTGTGCATAGTCACAAGCGTGTGCATGCTCATATGCATGTGCATGCTCACAAGCATGTGTGTGCTTGCAGGCGTGTGCATGATCACCAGCATGTGCATGCTCACATGCATGCGCATGGCAAAAGCATGTGTGTGCTTGCAGGCATGTACATGATCACAAGCATGTGCGTGCCTGCAGACGCGCTCCCTGCTCCCTGGCCTGGCAGGAGTCCACTCCTCCAGCTCCGTGGGTCGCCACGCGAGGCCGGCTGCCGCCGGGACCCGCTCCCGGTTCCGCGGCTCGCCGGGGGTGGCAGCCCCCTCCCCGCCGGGCGCGTTGCCGGGCGCCGCGCGCATCAGCCGGTCCTGCTGCTCCGCGTTGCCATGGTGCCGTTGCCAGGGCACCCGCCGCCCCGGCACCCGCCTCCTGCATCCATAAATCACGGGCGGCCCCAGCCCAGCCTGGCCGCCCACACGTGACGCTGTGCAGACGGGGGGACCTGGTGGGGACCCGGGGACCCTGAGGTGGCTTGTCCCCCCTCCTGGTGGCGCTGGCCACCCGGCCCGGGCAGAGCGTCCCTCGCGTGTGGCGCATCCGGGCCTGGCTCTGCTCTGCCCCCGCGCAGCACCCGGGGCCAGGGCACGGACTGGGCTGCCCTCGTCCTGCGCCGGGAGCTTTCCTGGCCCCGGCCCCGGGAATGCAGCAAATAATGGAAAATGGAGAGGATGGAGCAGGGCGGGAACAGAATGTCTCAGGAACACGGGGGAAGTTTGGATGGGCTGCGCAGGGCTGGTCCAGGGAGCGCGGAGGGTGCCGGGGCCGCGCGCGGTGCCGGGGCCGCCGCGGAGGAGCCCGGCGCGGGCCGCGCTCCCGGCGCCGCTGCCGCCGCTCCGCACAGCTCATGGCAGCTCCGTCTCCCTCGGCTCCCTCCCTGGTGACCGGGAGCCTCGTTAGCGCCCTGGCGCACTGCCAGCCGGCTCCGCGCCCGCTCCCGCCTGCACCTGATGCTCCGCGGCGGGTGGCGGCTGCCGCGGGCGCCCAGGGCGGCTGCCGGCCCCGAGAGTCCGGCCTGGGGCTGAGCCTGTTGCTGCGTGTGCGCTGATGCACCCATGTGCATGCATGTCTGCATGCACGAGGGCATGCGTGTGTGAGTGAGTTGGTGTCCATATGCACATGCATGCGTGTGCTCTCCCAGGCCAGAGCCGCAGCTGGGGAGGCTGCTCTGGGAAGGCAATAGGGGCCAAGGAACCGGCTACCCGGGCCAGGGAGCCGGGTGTTTGGCGCTGCGGGATGGCGGGGGGTACGGGGGTCCTGCCGGCGCTGCCGGCACCCGCTCACACCATCTGTGCTCTTGCAGGGCGGTGGAGGCCAGCACCCTGCAGCAGGAGCGGCTGCAGGCCATCGCGGTGAGTGCCCCGCGCCGCAGCCGCCTGCAGCCTTGGGGGACGGCGAGAGGGGGCCGCGATCCCCCTGGGTTGGGGACGGGGCAGCCCCTGCGCTGTGGTCAGCAGAGCCCCTGGCTACTGGACCCAGTGCCCGGCTGGCACCCCTGGCTCCATTTCCCGGCGCTCCGGCGGTGCCGGCGGCGCTGCCAGCGCCGGTGCCACTCGCTATCGGAGCGTGGGGCCACACAAAGGGCGGATTGTCCCGCGCTCAGTGGAAGGAGCGGCTGACAGAGCCGGCCAGGACAGCGCTGGGGCGCAGGACGGGGGAGCTGCTGTCCTGGCACCCCCGGGGCATGGAGCTGCTGGATGCGGCAGAGCGGGACGGGGCTGGGGATGCTGCAGAGCTGCAGGAGCCACAAACCTGCCCCCTGCACTGCACCCCTGTCCCCAAACCTGCCACCTGCCCCCTGCACTGCACCCCAGTCCCCAAACCTGCCCCTGTCCCCAAACCTGCCCCCTGCACTGCACCCCTGTCCCCAAACCTGCCCCCTGCACTGCACCCCAGTCCCCAAACCTGCCCCCATCCCCAAACCTGCCCCATCCCTGGACTCCATCCCCATGCCCTGCACACCTGTCCCGTGGCCAGTCCCCTTCCCTGCATATCCCCTGCATGTCCCTTCGTGCTCCTGCCGCTTGTCCTGGGGATACCGCGGTGGAAAAGCGGCCCCCGGCCACGCCGGTGCCTCTCATCCCGGCAGGAGAAGCGGAAGCGCCAGGCGGAGATCGAGAACAAGCGGCGGCAGCTCGAGGACGACCGGCGGCAGCTGCAGCACCTCAAGGTGGGGACGGGCGGGCGCGGGCGCCGGCGCCGGCCCCGGCTCCGCTCACGCTCTGCCCGCAGTCCAAGGCTCTGCGCGAGCGATGGCTGCTGGAGGGAGCCCCGGCCTCTGCCTCCGAGGAGGATGAGGCGCTCAAGAAGCAGATGCAGGAGGATGAGGTGAAGACCAAGGAGCTGGAGGAGACAATCCAGAGGTACCGGGGCGCTGGCGGCTGGGGCGAGGCCCTCGGTGTTGGGGTGTCCTGGCGGAGCCGCGGGAGCTGCGGTCGCTTTGCAGAGGGCCGGGAGGGGCCGCGGCGGCCGGGCGGGAGCGCAGGGCTGCCCCGGGCCTGCTCACGGCTCCGCTCCACAGGCTGGAGAAGGAGCTGGAGACGCTGGAGAACGGGAGCTCGGCAGCTTCCACCCGGGAGAACCTGGCGGAGGCGGCGGCGCCGGCACCGGAGGAGAAGGCGGAGGCCGTTCCCAACACCGAGAAGGTGAGAGGACGGCGGCACTGTGGCAGCGCCGGGCGGCACAGAGCCGCAGCGGGACTGAGGGTGCTGCCCTGCGCCCCGTGGCCTCCCTGCACCCCGCGGCCTCCCCCTGCACCCCCTGGCCTCCCCTGCACCCCGCGGCACCGGGGATGATCCACATCGCTCCTGCTCCCGCTCTCACTGCCGCCTCTGCCCCGCGGTCCCCCTGACCCCGCCTCTGTTTTGCAGAGTCCCCTGGGCACCGTCAAGGGTAGGTGACGCCGGCGCCGCCCGCTCCTCTCGAGCTGTCCCTGCTGCTGCCCGCGGGCACGAGGAGCCGCGCGGCTGCGGGGCCCCGTCCCGGTCCCGGGAGCCGCTGCCCGCGGGGCGGCGCTCCCATGGCATTTCCTGCTGCTCTCCATCCCCAGCCGAGAGGAAGGTCTCCAGCAGCCCCATGAAGGCGGTGGAGGGCACCGACCTGATGAAAGCAGGTAGGGCATCACAGCGCCGCGCTGCCGCGCTGCCTGCTGCTCCATGGCTTCCCGGGCGGAAAAACCAGCGCAGGAGCCCGGGCTCCCGGGATGCAGCCCGGGATGCTCCTCCACACCTGCCACTCGCTGCCCAGCTCCTTCCTGTGCTCTCGGTCTTGCTCCTTGCAGTTTGCAAGGCTTGCAGGCTCTCTGCTCCTCGTGGCACAAGGCAGGTGCTGCCCAACACGGTGGGCACTTGCTGGAGGCTTGCAGGGCACTGCAAGGGCACTGCTGGCCCCGCTCCCCCCGGCTTCGCTCCACCTGTGGGGAGGATGAGTCTGGATCCCGGATCGGCATCATCAGAGCCGCAGGGGAGCGATTCCGGGCGGAGGCCGCCCTGGTGTGGGAGGATGCTGGGCTGGCAGGGGTGGATGTCGCTGGTGCCCTGGCCACGCGGTGCCCAGCCCATGGGCGCATCCTGGGGCAGCAGCCCCTGTCCCAGCGGCTGCTTCAGCGGCGATGAGCCCAGCAGCCCTCGGCACCGCCGGACACACGGACACGGGGCCGGGGCTCAGCCCGCGGGGAGCCCTCGGAGGGAGGCGCCGCGACGCTGCGTTGCCGCTGCCGCTCGCTCCCGGCCACAGCCTGCTGCCTCGCTGCCACCACCGCTGCCACCGCCACCACTGCTGCTGCCCCCGCTGCCACTGCCGCCGCTGCCGCCACTGCCACCGAGCTGCCACTGCTGCTGCTGCCACCGCTGCCAGCGCCACGGAGGGGACCCGCACACTTAACCCTGCTGTGCTCTCTGTCCAGCCATGTACTCCGTGGAGATCACGGTGGAGAAGGACAGAGTGACTGGGGAGACCAAGGTCCTGTCCAGCAGCACGCTGCTCCCGCGGGAGCACTGCCCGCAGGGCGTCAAGGTGTACGAGGACGAGCTGCGAGGTACGGGCTGCGCGGAGCCGCCTCGCACGAAGAGCCGGCAGCCGCCGAGGGGCAGCAGGAGCCCCGGGAGCCGCCCGTGAGGACCGAGCGGCCTCCCTTGCCCGGCACCCGTCACCGCGGCGCTGATCGTCGCGGGATGCCGCAGTCCGAGCGGGGAGCGCGGGGCGCTGGACGCAGCACCGGCCCATGCGGCGGAGCGGCAGCCTGTGCCTCCCTGCGCGGTGGAGCGGAGCGGGCGGCGGTGCCGCCGCGGACTGCAGCTCCGGGGTGCAGGGGCTGGCGGCTCTGGGGTCCTGGGATCTGGGAGCGCCGCCTGGGCTCCCGCTGCAGCCGGGGATGCGGGAGCGGGGGGGCTCGGAGCGCGGGGTCGGGGAGCCAGCGGGGCCCTCACGCGCTGCTCTTGTCCCCGCAGTGGTGCACGCGGTGAGCGCCGAGGACGCGCTGGCGGGCGGCGCGCAGCCGCTGAGCTGCTCCGAGGTGGACGAGCTGCTGCACAAGGCGGACGAGGCGACGCTGAGCGAGGCGGCGGCGCGGGAGCCTGCGGGCGCCCCGGCCGCGCGGCAGCCCACGCCGCGCCGCGAGATCACGGGGCTGCAGGCGGCGGCGCGGGAGAGCGCGGCGGCACCGGGCCAGGGCGCCGAGCAGCCCGTCACCATGATCTTCATGGGCTACCAGAACGTGGAGGATGAGGACGAGACCAAGAAGGTGCTGGGGCTGGAGGGCACCATCAAGGCCGAGCTGGTGGTGATCGAGGACGCCGAGAGCAAAGCGGCACCGGGCGCGGGGTGCAAGGAGGCGGCGCCGCCCAACGGCACCGCGCTGGAGCCCGCCCCGGCCGCGCCGCCCCTGGAGCAGAGCTCGCCGGGCGCCGGCACCGCGTGCACCAAGGAGGCCGAGCAGGACACAGACACGAAGAAGCAGCGCTGCAAATGCTGCACGGTGATGTGAGCGCCGGGCGGGCGCGCGCCGCCCCGGCCCCCTCCCCAGTGCCCGCCCCGGCCCCCCCGCGCCCCCGTCCGCCGTCCCGCCGGACACAGGGTTGACTTTCTGTCCGCACACGGCTCCCATCGCGACTCTTCTTTCCCGTAAGGACTGGGGACTCCCATGGCGGCCTTGCAGAGCGCGCGAGCGGCAGCAGGGCCCGTGGCCGCTGCGTCACCCCGCGCTTGCTCCCGCGGGGATGGCGGGGACGGGGCCGCGTCATTAGCTGGTCCCCTGCGCCCGCAGCCCCGCGCGGGGCCGGGCCGGGCCGGCGGCGGCAGCGTCCGCGGCTCCCGTGCCGGCGTCACCAGGTCCCCCCGCCGGGGTCTCACCAGCAGCCGCAGCCGGGGCAGGGCCGAGGTGCCCCCCCCATCCCAGCACCCCGGCTTTTGCTCCAGCCCCGGCACCGTGCGGAGCGCAGGGCTCCGGCGCCTCCCTGCAGCCCCCGAGCGATGGAGCCCGGCCCCACGCGAGGCCTTCCCTGCCACCCCCGTCGTGTGCGCAGTGACCCTCCCTCCCCGTTGTCACCCGTTGCCACCAGTTCCCAGGTAGCCCCGAGGCGGCGGCTCAGCTCACAGGGACACCGGGCACCGCTGCACCCTGGCACCCACGGAGCACGGGCACCATCTCCCAGCCTCATCCCGGGGTGGCCCTGGCTGCCGCCCTGGACCAGGCCCGTCCCGATCCCGCAGTCCCATCGATCCCAGCCCGGCCCCTCCTCACGGACCCCGGCCCCCCCACGTGCCCGTGCAGCCCCCGCCGCTCCGTGGGCTTTGGATCCGGAGCGGGATCCGGCCGCTGCCAGCGGGAGCTGCCGCAGCCCCCTCACCCCCCGTCCTGCTTTTTGGTTCGTGGCGAAGCCGTCTGATGTCCCCTGGCCCCGTTGTTTGTAAGCCCCCAACCCAGCCAATAAACCGTGTGAATCACCCGCCTCGCCTCTGCTTGGGCACGGCCGCCGCGGCCGCCGCTCCTGCCCGTGTGCCGGGGCAGCGGGAGCCGGCGTGCGGTGGGATGCGCCCGCAGCGCTCTGGGATGCCCTGCCCGCGGGCTGGGCACGGTGCCCACGTGGCACCCGCAGGTATGGTGCTCACCTGGCACCACCCTCGCCGGGCGGACTTTGCCTCCTGCCCAGCGACGCCTCCGGGCATCCGGCTGAACCGAAACCGCCAGTGCCAGGGCAAGCGGGAGCCACCAGGGAACGGCACCGGGGAACGGCACCGCGGTAAGTGGGTTACTGTGGCAGTGAGGGTGGCCAGGGCGCTGCGCCGTGGGCACCGCGCTCCCATGGCACAGCAGAGCAGGGCACCGTGCTCCTGTGGCA